TCTCTCTCTCTCTCTCTCTCTCTCTCTCTCTCTCTCTCTCTCTCTCTCTCTCTCTCTCTCTCTCTCTCTCTCTCTCTCTCTCTCTCTCTCTCTCTCTCTCTCTCTCTCTCTCTCTCTCTCTCTCTCTCTCTCTCTCTCTCTCTCTCTCTCTCTCTCTCTCTTGCCGCCCCTCAAGCGTAGCGCTCCAGATAGTTCAGCAAAGGCCCATCAAACTGCACCCACTGGTAAAAGTCTGGCAGGACCTCAACGACGGCGCTAAGGTCAGTGACCGCGGAAGTTGGAGACTGCACCGCGGAGCCGTTGCTGTCGGCGCCCTCCTGTGGCACCGGCAGCGTCGTCGGAGCCACCGCAGCATCAGCGTTGACAGTTTCCCGATAGTATCGGTAACCACGTGCCCCCTCCACCAGAAGATTTTTACCGGATTTTGGCTTGTGTGTTTTCGCCGAGAAAGACCGCGTCCCTGTCGAAGCCGCAGCAGCGGCAGCAGCACTAATAGTCGTCGTCGTGTCTCCGCGCGCAGAAGGCCCTGGAAACTCCACAGCATTCGGGGCAACGGCTAGGGCGCTGTCGGCTGTCTGTAGAGCTTTTTTCCGCATGGTCTGCCGCCACACTCCCTGCAGTGCATTCCACGACATCAGTTGCAACGCCGCAGTAAGGAGAAATAGCGGAGCGCGATAGCGCCGACGGGGAGCGGCGCCGTTGCTGCCTTTATTCCGTCCAGCGTTGTGGTCCTGTGAGTCCACGCCCGAGCACGGCAGATACCAGACATCGGCGCGACAGCGACTTGGAATGAGGCCTATAATAGGAATACGTGCCATTGCATGGCATGTGACCCCCTTCTCCGAAGGAAAAGCCAGAAAGGCATGCTGTGAGCCGCGCAAAACGCTATTCGCAGAAGCTTCTGTACAGAAACGTCCAGAATAGCCAAACCTTACATCGTGGCTTCCCACACTGCCGCTTGAGGCCTCCATGACGGTATGCATCTCCCCGTTGCTGTCAGTCGCGGGGGTCGAGGCCTTATCGAAGGAAGAGACGCCCAGTTGTCTCACCACGAGGTCGTTGTTGCCGTCGCACGGTGACAGCGACAACGAGGACGCCGACGACAGTGGCATCGACATGGGGCCGTTGGCAGACCACATGTCCCAGTGAACCCCCTGGCGGTCGCAGCGGAACACAGGGGACATCCAGTCACTGTTCATCGTCGACACCAGACTTGGGGTTTGGCTCCACTCCAAGTGGCGTGGCGGCCGCAGTGCATAGTAGACGATAAAGCTCCCACAGCTGTGCTTTGCCGTGTGGCTCTGATCATGCACCGGCTGCCATAGAACGGCAAACCACGACTGGTAATCGAGCTCCGTCGTCGTTGCGCTAAGAAGAACGGAGTAGCGATCATTGGAGGCTGCCAGCTCATGCACCTGCTCAAGCAGGAGACTACGCTGATCCGGTCGCTCCGTTGCACCCCACGTGAGAAGACCCGTCTCCGCATCGTGTGGCGCGTCCTCACTGCTCGCGTGCGTGGCTCCACGCCGCGTGGTAAAAATCGGGGCCACTGTAGACATAGAAAAAGTTAAGCCTCCTTCGTCGCCACTCACCTCGAGCTTGTTGGCGGTGACACCGTCTAGAGGCGAGGATGGCATGTGAGTTCGCTGCATCGGGTCTAAGGGAAAGGCAACTGGTGGGGCAATGTCTGCGTTCTGCTGTAAAGATCTTAGCCTCGCGTACGTCGCGGAGGCCTCGCGGAAGCGAAGCCGAAATCCACTAAGAAAAGGCGTGTACACCACATGCCCTTGCGGGGGCCGCATCGGCGCCAAAGAAACCGGCTCGTCGAAGGGAATCGTGCAAGCAAAGGGAAGGTCCAAGGCCTTCCATACATGCAGAAGCGGGATGGAAGGCTCTCTATACGTAGGTAGCGGGGCGTCGCCACCCAATTCCTCGCGCCCAGGCGGCAGAGTCTCCCCTGCGAGAGGGGAAGCCCACTCCATTTCTTGCTCCGTTGCCACCACTGGGGAGACGGCATTGAGGAAGGCAACAATGTTTCCGTAGGAAGAGGCATCAAACGGCACCTCTGGAGCTCGCTCCTCAAACAAGTCTTCCTGTGCCCCGCTATGCTCGTACAGTGTTGGTCCAAGCGGCGTCGTACGGAAGGTTGGCGGCTTTATTAGTGTACCCTTCAGCATGGCAGCAGCAGCAGCAGTAGCGGACCCCGGCTCGCGAAGTACTTCTCCCTTAGCACCCAGAGAAGCCAAGGCATTCTCGCTTATTGGCAGAGTTTGCTGTCGCATGGAGACAGGCCCGCCGCCTAAGTGTTGGCTTCCATTGGCGCCGCAAACAGAGTCGAGAGCGGTGGATCTCCCACTCGCCAGGGTGGTGTGGGGGCTGCTACCTATCCGGCCGGCCCCAGCCTCCTGGGCTGTCGAGGTGCACGGCGATACGGCGCCAGTTGGCACCATGGCGCTGAAATGCCGCGACCCCCGGCGCAGCGGAGAAGTGCACGGAGTTTTGATCGCCCCTGACGACTGCGGACGTGGGAGCAGGTGCATCGGCGGCGGCTGCAGGTGCTGCAGTTGTTGGTGAAGTTGATGAATATGGTGCTGGTGCTGCTGCGACCATGTCGCCTCCGACAATGCAAATGCGGAGGGCACGCGGTTCGCCTCGGGCGCCTCCCAGCGGGAGGGGTCATCCTCCAACTTGCCCGGTCGCCCGTTGCCCAGCACCGCTCCCGTATTCGCAGAGGTTTTTTGCTCGTCTTCGCAGTCGGACTGCTCTTGCGGAACCCCCGCAGGAAACTTTGCGGGGAGTTCCCTCTTGTGCTCGCCTGCGCTTAAACCCTGAGGACCTTCCGCGGGCTCCGTAGCCAGCCCCGTCGCACGAGCGCGTTTGGGGGAAAAGATGTGATTGCCCGTCCCATCCCGAGCCATGATGGCGTCCTGGTACGAGGGCAGCTGGGCGCACCGCTTATCCGCTGTGACGTGCGTCTGTGTTGGAGGGAGCCGGGCCGCAACTGAGATGGGGCCCACAGTGCTGTCGGTGGGGTGAAATGTGGGCGCCCCGCCGCCTCCTGGGCCCTGCCCCCAGCTGCTTTTGACGCTACTGCTACCACTAGCGCCATCCTGCCGCACGCCGGTCGTTGACATCTGTTCCCCGGCGCCGTCCGCCCTCACTCGTCTACTGGATGTGCTACCTGACTCGGAGAGCGGTGGTTCCTCGGTAAGCAGGAACATCTGACTGTGGAGTCCACTATCGCTGCTTGAGGGAACTCCCTCGGCCACGAAGTCACCTGGCGTACTACTCGCCTCCTCCTCCACCGGGGGCCCTGCACATGCGTGACACCCCTGCTTCGGCACCTCCGTGACTGCAGTCCCGTTCATCTTCGCACGCGGCACCGCATAGTCCAAGGCCGGAGCGAACGAGGGCCCCATCCCGTTCTTTTGCTGCTGCTGTTGATGGTGAATGTAGTGCTGGTCGTAGAAGAGGCCATGGCTCTGACTGTAAACGTGCTGGCTCTGGGGAGGGTAGTAGTAGTACGGCTGCTGCTGGTGGTGGTGGTGGTGATGATGCTGGCTGTACTTGTGACACGCCGCAGCCGCAGCCGCAGCAGCAGCCGCAGCAGCAGCAGCAGCAGCAGCCACGGGGGCGTATGGCCCAGGAGCACCATAATAAAAAGGTCCAGGCTGCCAAACTTGCGGCGGCGGTGGCGGTGGCGGCGGCGGCGGCGGCGGCGGAAAGCCGAAAGTTCCACTTGTGGGGTACGGAAGCGGAACAAGAGGGACAGGGCCGTAGCCGTGCTGAGGTATGTTTGTTCCCGGTACATTATGGCCGTATGGATTGGGGCCCTGCTGCGGAGTGCCTTTCATGATACTCCTCGTATTCCCCACCTCCGGCACCTGCTGCTTACCTATCCCAGAGTCTGACTGTATTGCTCTGGGGGCTTGCCGCTTCGTCGGAACTTCAAAGTAGCAAATAGTATTCACACATCCCCGCTGCACATGTTCGACACGGGATGCCGCGGGCACTGCTGCAGGCACTGTGTCGCCTTTTGCTGCCGGCGGCGGTGGCGGTGGCGGTGGCGGTGGCTGTGAAACTGGCTCATTAAAGGCTGGTGGCCGCACCTCCTGCAGTATCCTATCGGCAGTGTGTGGCAGTTGGCTGTGTTGCGTCCGGCCATTCTCCTGCAGCACTGGAGCAGCGCGGTACGGCGGCCTCCCGTTGCATGCCGCCTCACTTCTGCCATTGCCGCTTCCGCCGTGCCCCACCGCAGTACGATGGCCGACGGTGTTCATGCGGCTGACTGAGTCGCATGCAACCGCAGGAGACGCCAAAGGCGTGGATGCCATTTCCCCCTCATACGCGTTGGCCCGCATGTGAACTCGCATCAAGAGGCAAAAAGAGAAGGCGGAAGAAAAGGAGGCAGGACAAGTGGAGAAACACCAGATCGGTCCACACTTGCATGTAGACGCGCGAATGCGACGGAAAAAAAGAAAAGAGGCGAGGGATGAGTGACAAGCGCGTTCCGTCCAGTCATGGGCAGAACTTCCTCTGCGCACCCCGCCCAAGCTTCACCCAAACTCTCACTCACTCCCGCATCCTCAACGCTTTTTTTTCTTTTTCAATCTTCTTCTTCCGTTTCCGCCTGCCGTTTGACTTCCCCCTTTTCCCCCACACCTCCGTTCCTCTCCGTCGTTTATTATCTACTGTCTTTCTGCCCGCGCGCCGTCGCGCGCGCAGGCGTCGCCGACGGAAGGATGGAAGAGACGATTGTGGCGGCCGCCGCAGGTGGGCAGGTGGAGGAGGAGGCGCGGCGGAGGCGATGCAGACGCACGCGCCCACGCATACCCGGCACCCGTCCATTTTATTTCTCTCACTTCTGTCGCGGCGTTTTCCTCCTCATTTTTTTTTTCACATTCGGTTTGCCTCGGGTTCCGCCCCCCTCAGCAACAGCAACAACAACAACGAGCGAAAGAACCGCACCAAGTGCTCGCACAAAAGCGAGAGAAAAGGGAAAAGGGGGAAAAAGGAAAGGAAAGGGAACAAAAAAAAAAAGAATAAAAATAAGGCATCGCTGCATTGACGCTGGGGCCCCTCGGTGCTCCTTTCACGCCGCGGCGTACAGTATCTCCAACACGGAGCGGGCCAAATGCTTCGTCTCCGGTGACCCCTCGTTCTGCTCCGCCACTGGTCCGACTAGGTTCTCAATTAGACGCAGCTTGTCGTAGTAAAACTGTCGTTCGTTCTTCACCGCTGCGAGCGCCGCCGACATGGACGGGTCGCCGTTGCTCCCGCCGCCACTCAGCGATCGCGAGTGGCGAAACGAGTGCACTGGCGTCCCTACCCGGGAGGAATGAAATAACCCGGCGGGCCCAGCTTGCGAGGCACTAGTGGCGAGTGAGTCGGCCCCACGGCGCAGCGTCGAAGTCCGTTTTGGTCCCCCCATCGGGGAGCCGGGGGGGGCGTTGAGGTCTGTGCTGCTGCAGTCCACGAGAGGACGGGCGCCGCTTCTCTCCAGCGGCGCCCGTGCAGCGGTGGTGGTGGTGGTGGTGAGTGATGTTGCCGCCATGTTCCGCAGGGAAACTGCAGTGGCGGGGCGGGCAGCGGTGCTCCCTGTGCCGGGTGCCTTGCCGCCGGGACCCAGCTCCGGGTCCCTGCCTCCCTCAAAGCGCTTTGTGGAGTTGCCACTTCGCAGCAACGAAGACGCGGGCCGTGCGGCGCGTGCGGCCTCGCCTGCGCCGCGTGAGGAGGTGCTTGGGGTCCGGTCTCGCGCCACCTCCCTCCGTGCAGCGGAGTACCCACGCGCCGGAGAGACATGGCCCCTCCCCGGCGCCACCTGTCGCCTATACGCGGAGGAGGGGCGTGCAACTAGAGCGTTTCCTGACCCGTGAAAAGAAGAGCTCCGCTTTGCCGTCGCCGAAGCTGGCTGGGCCGATGCCTCTTGGCTGTGTGCAGGGTGGGACGCAGCGGATGCCCGTGATGCTGGCTGAGCCGAAGGAACCCTCCCCGACAAAACTGCAGCCCTCGCTGCCGTCTCTGCCTCGGCATGGGGGCCTTCGCAGTCGTTCGGCGGCGGTGCGCCCTCTGCTGGGCGGGATGGGGCAGCGGCGTCGGGATCCGCTGGTTCCCCCAATGAAGTCCTCCGCTGCGTCCGCTCAGCAGGGCTCGCTGACAGCGCGTCGTAGAGCCCGCGGAACCACTGCAGCAGCTGCAGGTTTGCCTGGTAGGCTCCCTTGATAACTTTATCCAAGTCCTTGCTCAGGACCTCCGGGCGAGGGATGCCGTTTTTGTGCAAGGCGTCCATGAAAAGCTTCATGTTCACCACGGCGTCGAACTCGTGCTTGGCGTTCGTCTTGGCCTTTGCCGTGAGCGGCGGGTACGGTGTTGCGAGCAGGGAGGGAAGCAGCAGCACATACGGCACACCGTTGCTGCACTGCTCCACTTTGTGCAGCCGCGGCAGCGGCTGGCCCCCGGCGGCGGCGGCGTTGTTGTCGAGCAACTCGTTCAGCCACGCCAGGAGTTCTGTGCGGGAGTCTTTCGACGCCACAACTCGCAGCGAGGGAGTTACGCGGCCGCGGTCCATGGCCAATGTACCGCGCCCCGGCCGCAGGCCTCACACGGCGGGGGAGAAAAAGCGAGGCGCCAGCGGGTCGCCACAGGAAATGCACGGGGGCCAAGAGTTCTACGGGCGACGGCGCCAGAGCTGAGCGGCGCCGCCTGTTGCCAGCTGAAAGGAAGCCGATGTCGCCCCCGGTGCGAGTCGCTGGCGCGGGTGCCCAGTTTTTGCGCGTCGGTGGGTTTTCTGCGCCCCGCTCCGCCTCCCCGCCTCTGCCTTCGCTACCCCACTGCCTCGGTGGTAGCCGCACGGCGCCGATTTCCCTCGCTGCTGCTGCTGCGGCAACTGGTGGTGGGTGGTGGTGAGTGCTGGGCGCTAGCTGTTGACGGTGCTACGCAAAAGAACCACACCAACAACAACAAAAAAAAAGGAAAAACAGAAAAACACAAACGTGCATGAAACTCAAAGGGTGGCAACGGACGAAAACAATAAATTGCGTAGGAGGAGGTAAAGCGGGAGGGAGGGAGGGAGGCGCACCCGTACACGCGTGCGCACGCCGCCGCCTCCCCCGCGCTGGCGCGTCCACAGGGTGGGGGCGATGACGCTGCGGTCGATGGGCGCGAACGCGCCTCGCTGCAGGGCGCCGGGAAGCACAGGCAGAAAAAAAATCAAAGACC